AGAGGAGCCAGGCCCGGCCCGGGTACACGGCAGGCTCCTCCCTCGACGCCCGGGGCTGAACACCGCGCCGCGGAGCGAGCGAACGACAACTTCCCGTCGGAGTTGGCAGGCGGAGGCAGAAGCGAAGTTGGCAGCGTACTGCGCCTGATATCGATCAGCTGACAGGAGTAAAATAAAACGGTGGTTTCATGATTTTTAACAGTTTTTTAAGTGATAAATTCTGAAAATAATTCGGCAGATCGCTGTTATAAAAAGTGTAACAAAAGAAAAACTTGTTTGCCTTAGGTTTTCTTTCATTGTTATGAGATTATATTGTTCCGTAATTACGAAAATGATCGTAAGCGAGTCGACGAAATGTATTTGGATGCTTTAAATAATTGCAGACATATAGAAAGAAAATCAGTGAGTGAAGCATCTACCTCTTTTCATTCAAAGGTTGCGTAATTGGTAAATGAGCTGATGTTGCCGAGGTTTTTCGGTGTTAATACCTCTCCTTGATCCATTGTTTGATGAGGCGAGTATAAAGTGGGAGATATTTTTTCTTAAATTTCGCGAAGATGAGTAATTCAGCACTATTTGTTTTTTTGTTTTGTTTTTTTCAAAAACTGAAAATGAGAAGCATTGTGTATGGAATTTTTAATTATATTTTTCAATTTATTTAATAATATGATGGATTTGTAACTTAAATTAAAAATGTAGGCTTATTCGCTTTTCTACCTGAAACCTCGCTCTTAACCACCGTTTGCTGGCGCTAGCTGAAGAAACGTGAATTGCTTTCCATAAATCGATTGTAACTGTCACAACCAAGCGACGAAATGAACAAATGACAGAAAATGAGCTTTCTATTAATTTTAAGTTACTATGAAATTTTGAGATGATATCAAAAACATAAATAAGATAAGAAAGTCACCATTCGCCTTCTTAAGAATGTGAAAATGGAAGTGAGCGTCAGGAATTATTTTCATTTGACGCGTAGATTATATCAATAAGCACCTTATCGAGGTGAAATTCACTTCGGTTTCGCAACCCGAGAGGAAGCGAGTTACACAATAAGGCGAGTTCCTGGAATGTACGGTACTCCAGCTCTATCGGTAAATGTTGAAGTCTGCAGTTTTGGCATTCTGTGAATAGTATAACGATAAACGTGCACGTACAAATATGTATGTTTTCCAGGTACAACCGCTGGATATGTTTAGCAGTTGTTCCCATATTTTATGTCATTATTGATATATCTTTAAAATTCTATACCCTTTTAATGCAGTTTTTTTCTTAAAACTGTTGTAGTCATTTAATTAATTTTATTTCGATAATTTCATTAATTTATCGGTTTTCTACACACAAAATTACTGTGCTCCACAGTCTGGGAATTTCTAATTTTTTCGTCAACAGTCTGTTTGACACAGATCTGGGGGGAATGCCGTCCCCAGCAATACGACACTTACGGGGTTTTGTGTTTCTTATAAATGGTACGAAGCTGCCATCTTCACCTAGCGTAGGGACTATGAAGAAAAAAAATATTTTCACCCCTGACTCATAAAATATAACTGACCCACCCCACAATAACGAACGCAATTGGGATCGTTGCCGCCATGCTACCAAACAATGGTTTGTACTTGTACAGGGACTTTATAATGGTTGCCTCCCATATTAAAAATAACATGAAAACTCCCTATCTTTGAATACAATAACAAAGACGAGGAAGCTGACGATTTAGAAACCAGGGTCTGATGTCCTTCTTTCTCTTCCAATAGTCTCAAAATGTTCGTCGACCCCATTGTTGAAGCCTCTAGATGTTAAACCACATACCTTGTGAGTAAGCTCAGGACTTTAGTTTCCGCAGCGGCGCAGATCGGGAGGTGCTAGAATTACAGTCCGGATGGTAGTGGGTCGAATTCAGCCGCTGGCTGTTGGAGAATTCTAACGATCGGCAACTTTGCTTGGTAGTTTTCCGTGGATTCTCCTATCAATACCGAATGCCGGAGCAATACCTTAACAAACGTATCATGGACCGCGCACGCGGTCCTAATGTTTGTTCTCTCTTCTTCCCTTACAGAACACACACACACACCACACACTCCCCCCCCACACACACACACAGGCGCGCGCGCTCGCGCACACACAAACGAACGAACGCGCGCACACGCGCACACACACACACACACACACACACACACACACACGCGCGCGCGCGCGCGCGTAAACGCATGCACTTCGACGCATACACACAAATGCATGCTCGCAAATGCATGCTCGCAAATGCATGCTCGCAAATGCATGCTCGCAAACGCATGCTCGCAAACGCATGCACGCAAACGCATGCACGCAAACGCATGCACGCAAACGCATGCACGCAAACGCATGCACGCTCACAACACTAGCACCTGTCGAGAGAGCAGTCGGACGCGTGGAGCTTGTGAGCGGCCTGGGACGGGGACACCCGGAGAGGGGGAGAGCCCCCATAAGGCGATGCATCGCGCGTTCCGCCAGTGGTGGAACATCGCTTCCCCCCGCGGTATAGCATGCACTGCACTAACGGGTCAAATCACCACCGCCGTTGACGTGCCCGGATACACACAATATCCATATAACCCCAAATTATATATTTATGTTCGTTAAGGACAATCTTGTCTTTAAACTACCAGTTTAATCTTCAGATATTTGTGTTTGGTCTTTTGCAATCTCTTCTTCCGCACCTTCGGGTGGGCGTCCTACCTTATTCATTTCTTTTCAATGGAAGTGGAGGGATTGTGGTTTAGGAATGTGGTTGACAATGGACCAATGGTTTCAAGAAGGGCGAAGGTCACGGCCAAACCCAGGAGAAACCCTGACGAGAACCCGCTTTGGTCCCCAAAAATGTCACTTAGATCGATGAGTATCTATCTCTAGGGAAAAGGGCTTTTAAATCCCCCTTTTGACGTTGGTGTCATGAGTAAAGTTAAACCATCAGACCTTTTGTGCCTTAAATAATTTTGTAATACAATTATTCATTTTTATGGAATCGCGATTTCCAACCTGTTTGTAAACCTACATTAAAATAAACTTTTCATCAAATGAGATGTTAAAGATGGCAATTTGTTTGTTACAGATGATGCCTACGTGAAATTAGCCATTGAAACCATGGAAGAGCTCGATTGGTGCCTCGACCAACTGGAAACAATCCAGACACATCGATCTGTGTCAGATATGGCGTCGCTGAAGGTAAGTGCAATGATGCAAATTATTGATGACGATATAGTTTATTACTCCCTGGCAGTACGCACTCAGCATGATATTTACTCAGATGTCTCAATGGGTAGATGCCTGTGTCAAGGTAACTCAGGCAGATTACAAACTTGGTACACATGTCACGAAACACATGCGCTGTTAAAGCCATTCCAACAATGTTTACGATTGTTGCATCTGTCGTGGAAATACACACCGTTTTGTACCAAAGAACAGTGCAATAATTGTTAAAATGTGCACTTTAGCCTAAAATACGCGAGCTGGGGAATTGTATAAGGCATTTTGCCGGTTTCTCTAACTCCAATCCTCACCGCATATATTTCCTGGTTCTCATGACGGGAACAACTGGTATCTGCAATATTTTCACATAAATGTGTCAAAAACCTGATACATGTATAACCTGCGCGAATGAGTTATGTGAGATCGGCCGTCCGGTCGGACTACCCCATCAATCAGCAAGCCTCTATGATTTAGTTTGGTGCAGTAGGTTGGCAAATCGGCTTCGTTTTCAATCAAAAGTGCCACACAATATAATTTTTACGTTAATGAATAGTAACACTACGCCACTGGTGATGAATATCCTATTATAATGCCATTGTTGTGAGTCTTTTGAAATACTTAGTACCACCCGAGTGGTTACATTTCCTCTCAATCATTACAATATCCAACTGCTGTATTTCATAAGGCGCAAGGGGAGGAAAGATTATGGTATGTCACTCAACTCTTAGTTCAGCTATGAATAACGCTTGTTCTCGTTATTAATAGATTATGTTTCCGACGCTATATTTTCCTTTCACGAGTGAGAGTTCTAATGGCGTATTATGAGTTTCCTCGTGCGCGTGTTAATCTCATTTTAGAGCGTGTTTTGTTTCATACTTGAAGTTATCAAATTTAAAATGTATATCTTTTTTATCTTCTGGTTTGGGTTCCATTTTAGAGACCAGTAATATAGAAGTGTGCCTTCTCGCTTGTCACAAGTTTGTAAATCATAATGTTTGAAGTAAAATAAGAAATATCACATATGGCTTTTCGGGAACACACTATTCAATTAAAACCAAACAAGTGGTATCAAACTGTAGATACTATTCTGGCTTATTTTCAATTTTTGTTATCAAATTTAAATAGTTAATATCAAAATGAAATGTTATCAAACGAATTTTAAGAACATGTATTAAGTTAAAATATGCGAATACTAGTAGAAACACATTTTTTCCTATTTTAAGCTCTGATAAAAACTTAAGCTATTTTGACAGGACAATGGAAGACTTGTTAGAAATCTGATAGCGGCTGGCAAATATTAAATGTTTATTGATTGCAATACTTAGGTCTTTGTAAATTAAAATTGCTATGATGCCATTCCAATACCTAATCACTCAAGAGGAATCAGCGAGCCAGAAACAACGAATAAATATAATTTGTACTTAGGCCTACTACTACCCTGATTATGCCAGTGAAAAATTATAGGCATTTACGTTGCAAAAAACATGTGAACACTAGGAAATTAAAATCTATTTCACCTTAATCCGAAAAGTGCAAGTTTCGTCTACACGTTCGGTTTCCTGTCGATAATTATCTCACGTATTGTTGTAGACAGATGGCTAATCTTGCACGTTTGGGTTCTTAACATGGGCACTCACGTAAAATTTGTGATGATTAACACATAGCATGTTTTCTTGAGACCTTCCCCTTTATCATGCGTTTCGAATCATCATCATCATCATCATCATCATCACAATTATTACCCATTGCCATCAGTTCAGTTGACACCCCTCTCATCTTATTCATCTCTCTGTTTAAAAAGGTGGTTGTAAATACATGCGCATAATGTTTAAACAGCGCTTACTCTTTAAAAATTGTCTTTGGAGACCTCGCAATCAAACCATTCGATAAATAAAATGTGTATGTATCAGAATCATCGTTTTGACTCTCTAAACATTTCCTCCAACCTCTGGGTATCAAGTATGAAATTATATATGCTCATGTTGATGATTTGTGACGTTTTTAAATGTGATAATTGATTTATTCTCCTTCGTTGCTTTTACAGTACTCATCATTACATAATAGTATTTCATTTAAAATCTGAATAAAGTGTAAAACTGCATGTTTGCTATCCTTAGATGGTATTCTGCGTCCATACGTGCTGTAGTCTATCTTCTCAATAGTCTGCCAATTGTATCCAAAATATAAATAGTATAGGCTTAAAACGAATTAAATATAAAAATGTTTTGAAAACCATTTGGATTTATTGCCCAATGTACTGTATTTATTATATTTTATATTATCTTGTAAGTCCCACATTAAGTATTTTAATTTTGTACAACTCTGTTATAACGAATTACATTTCTGTAAATCAAAAATTAATAAATTGCTGTCATATACTATGTTTTGGCCATCACGTATCGATGACATCGTATTTCCTGAAATTCAGCTCCCAATATCACGTTAAACGATGATACTCGTGACACGAAACCAATAAGGAAAGAGCTTTCTGACATTTTGCAGGAAGCAGAGTTTTGGTCCCAACAGCGCTTGTACAGGATGGTAAAAAGATACCTTCCCTGTGATCAAGCGACGTAAACTCTAGACTTCCAAATGAAAACTGTTGACATCTTCTCTTAAACTTCTTACATTATTCTGTGAATTGTATGATCGTTTGAGAAAAGAAATCTTGAAATGAACATGAATGAGAAATCACATTACGAACAGGAGTTTTGAATGGTTTAATAAATTCATCGTGAAGTATTTTTTTAGTTACGAATGTTTTAATGTGCGATTTCTAATATTTTTATGTTATCTTACGATATTTAAGAGAATAAATTCCATAATATTCTTGTAACATTTAAGTCCCAAAAGGATTAAAAGAGTATTAAATATTGTTTCGCATGACTGGACATCAATTTCGAAGAGCAAAGTGTGATTGCTTGAATTATTTTCAACATTAGCAACAACACCCGTGACATGAATTTTTTAGCCTCGCCACCGTTACCTGTACACAGGTGTCGCAATAATCCGCCCTTATCGCAGAAGTGTACCGCGCCATTCGCATATAAAGAGCGGCTGTAAGGTGTGTGCTTTAGGCTCCCGGGCGAGGCAAGCAACCGTGTTTGCCGGGGCAGCCGAGTGTGTCTTGGCCGTAGCCGCAGGTTTTACGAGCGCGAGTGCGGTAGCGGCGAGGGGTAACTGTTGGAGCAGGCGGTGGCGGCGACGGTGGGGGCGGTGGCGGGCTGGCGCACTGCGCGTCGCTGGTACCGCGCGGGCGGGAGCGGGGCGGAGCTGCTACGGCGGGGCGGGGCGGGCCTTCGCGACTGCACGCGAGGCGACCGTTCCCGCCGCCCGTCCCCGCCGCCCTCGCGCCGTTTGCCCGCCCCGCTGGCCGATCGCGGAGAGGCGTGCGCCTTGCTCCGCGCTGGAATCGATGGCCCCCTCGCACTGGGCCGAAATCGCTAGAAAGGGCGCAAAATAACAGATGTTAATAGGAAAATGGTGCATTTGTAAGGTCTGTTATTTTGTAATGAATTTTTTGGCGCTGAAAATGAGAAGTAGTGCCTTGCGAGATAACCAAAGTGATAAACGTTCGCGATTTCTACCGTTTGTTTTTAACATTTTCTGTGAAGTGAAAATGTTCATATAAATTGAGGTTGTTCGAACTTCTCTCTTCACAAAAGCAAACATACATGTTCTAAATCTTTCGAATGAATGATTTAAATATACTTTATTAACGTTTTTTTTCTTTAAAAATATTACTTTTTGTATATTTTTTCTTATTTAATTCTTGTTTGGCTGCCATTGTATTCTGTAGATGCTTTTAGTGCCCTTTGAGTTGAGCTCAGCACATCGTTGAAACGCACAGGACGGCCACTGTGGGTCACCCTTCAAGAAAACTAAAATTGCAAATTAACTTTGAACAACTCAGCACATGAATCGTGCAAGAAGGTTTCTTAAATGTATATGAAGGAGAAAATGAGATTGGTCTACGGTAGTTATCGCTATCAGTTTTCTTTTGCGGTACCTTTGTGTGGTTTTGGTAAATCCGATACATTTAACAACTGGAAATCTAACTATCTCCATTTCAGCCATGTGCAATGTTTAGGTTCGTAGTACTATCTAACGACCGTGTGATAGCGGACAGATGTTGGTAGTATTCGTAGTATCCAATGGAGGTGATCAGCAATGGATTAGATACTTGTCCACAATTGTCGTAGAGGCTTGATGGTCTTTCACATACATAATTCTGTGACATCAAAGTACCGGCTATATTTCTCTTTCAAAGGAATATGTACGAAGAACATTCGCTGTTAAAAATCCATGACTTCCGCTTACTCTATTACAGTGTTCTTCGCTGCTACATCACCGAAGCCGCTAGTTTTGCGGTTCCGTACCCCACAACTTGGTCCTCGAAGCAGCTCAGTCGATTGATCGCGTGAATGCATAAAGAACGCGTGAATACCTACATAAATCGTTTGCCTCGTACATGTGGTACATGTTACGTCAAGGAGCGAGGAAGCGACAAGGAAAGGGAGGGAATGATCACTGGCGCTCATTGGCCAGTTTAAGGCCCATTCACAATGCAAACATAAATATAAACGTAAGCATGGCTTTAACATAAAAGTTAGGACTACGTTCATACGCGGACTCATTCACAATGCGTTCGCATAAGCATATCACATAAGATTTCAACTTAAAAACTTGCAAGCTTCAAGATTCTGTGCTTATACTTCAGAAAGACATTAGAAATGAACTAATCACTGTACGTTAACTCAAAATCGATTGAGGAGCGAAGTCGATAGTCGAACTAAATCCATATGAGCAATAGACATAGTCGATACCTCGAAATCTATTCTCTCATTCAATCAGTAAATTAGAATGTCTCACAGCTAATAGAAACTCTTATTTTGCGTACGTTTATGTAGGACATTGTGAATACATCTGTGTTTCACTTATGTAAATGTTTACGTCTATGCGTTATGCTTATGTTT